GCCACTCGCCAACCAGTCGGCTGCGGCAGTGGCGGACGCCTTTGTCCAAGGTTACGTTTTGGACAAAGGCGCCCCCGAACGCTTGCTGACGGATCAAGGGAAAAACTTTTCGAGTGTTTTGTTGCGCGAGGTGTGCGACCTGTTGGGTACAAAGAAAGTACGTACCTCCCCGTACCACCCGCAGACTGACGGTATGGTTGAACGTCTGAACAGGACGATTACGTCTATGCTGTGCCAACAGGTATGCGACGACCAGGTGGATTGGGACTTACAGGTACCGGGGGTACTAGCGGCCTATCGGATGGCACCCCATGCGGCGACGGGGTTTTCTCCATTTTTTCTGATGTATGGGCGGGAGGCTGATCCGGCCATGGACGTCCAACTGGGGATTTCACAGCCACGTGCGAAATCTAAATTGGCAGACCACATTAAGTTTAACATCGCCAAATTGGCTGAGGCGCGAGAGGCTGCGAGATTGAATTCACGCTCTCGGCAGATCGCGAACGAGCGATTGCATGAACGGAAGGTGCATACGCACAATTGGGAACCGGGCGATAAGGCCTGGCTGCATTGTCCACACGCACCGTTGGCTACGTCCCCCAAACTGTTGAGACCATGGAGGGGACCGGTGGAAATTGTGCGGGTTGCACGACCCCAGAGTATACAGATTAAATGGGGAAAACGCCGTTGGTACGTGCACTCCTCCCGACTGAAACCCTACGCGGCGCCGCGTGACCCCGGGTTGTGCCGTGACGACCGAGCGTGTGATGTGACCGTCGACTCGGGGAGGGATGTGTCGCAGGCTGATCCTCACGTGTCTCCACCTGACCCACCCCCAGGTGTCTCGGACCTGATGGCTGTTGACCGTCGGGAACCGGAACCCCGCGGCTCGCACGGAGCCCCGATGCCTGGCCCATGCCTTCCTGAACTGCCGGCGCCGCCGGATGGCCAACTGCGTCCTGTGCCGTACGACGGTCCGGCAAGGCGGACTCGGTCAAGGACGCAACACTTTTCATGAAAAAAAAAAAAAAATTCTTTTTTGTTAAAGCCCGACTTCGTTGCCGGCTTCCCCCTCTGCCGGGGTAATGTCCCGTTCAAGGGACGCTCGGACATTGGGACGCTGCATGAGTCGGAGAGAAAAGAAGAGAAAATGATTAAAGAAATTTTTTTTTTATTGTTACTCTTTCCGCATACACAGTATCGTTGCCACTCGCCGGATTGTGCATGTTGTTCTTGTTGCGGGTGTGGCGGTTGCTGGGTTTGCGGATTGCGGTGTTCATGTTGTGTTGTTAGGGTTTGTGTTATGTTACGGGGCACACATGGGAGTGAAGGGGTGTTGCATGTTTTATTAGCAGCCGGGTCGGCTGCGAGCTATGTGGTAAGGGGTGATGTAGTGGTGGTATTGACGTGCGCCGGCAGTGATGGATCACGGGGCGCGGGGTTGGGCACGCGGTGTGGGCGTGGCATGGACGCGCGCGCCGGTGGTGAGGCGCGCTCACACAAGCTGGGAAAAGAGGATCGTAGCGAGTGCGCAGTGATTGGTCTGATGAGTGGGTACTCTCAGCGACGTCCGCAGGAGGGGTATAAAGGGGGACGCGCGAGAGCACTCGTGGTCAGTGTTAACCAGTTGAAGACCGAAGACGGGGTGGAGGAGGTAGGGGCCCTGTGTGGCTCGGAGCCGAGACTGGGGGGACCGTAGTCCGACGCCCGTGTGGGTCGGGACGGTGGTACCCAGAGCCGAGACGGGCACCCCGGCTGGGTGTGTCCCGGAAGGCTACAGGGCGTAAGAGCCCGTGTCAGTACAGCTGAGTGGGTGTTGGTCACCCGTGTAGCTGAGTGGGTGTTAGTCACCCGTGTAGCTGAGTGGGTGTTGGTCACCCGTGTAGCTGAGTGGGTGTTAGTCACCCGTGTAGCTGAGTGGGTGTTGGTCACCCGTGTAGCTGAGTGGGTGTTGGTCACCCGTGTAGCTAAGTGGGTGTTGGTCACCCGTGTAACGAAGTTGTAGCTGAGTGGGTGTCCGTCACCCGTGTAGCTAAGTGGGTGTTGGTCACCCGTGTAACGAAGTAGGGTGTTAGTCATCCGTGTAACTACAAGTTGGTGAAAATAAAGAGTGTGCTACCCGTGAAGTCGTCTCCTGCCGAGTTACTACTTTACAGATGCACCACCAGCTGTACCCCCCGTACTGTGCCAGGCTAAGTACAGGAGGTCACGGGACAGACCCAGCAGGTGCCACGGGTTGGTCCGACTGAGATGACCGGCAGATGCACCACCAGCTATTACCCCCTTTACTGTGCCAACTTGCCGTATTTTATCCGCAACGGCGCTCCGCTCGTTGTTGTGAGCGTCGCTCCTCTGCCCTCCGTTGTTGTTGGAGGGCAACTGCCTCCAACTGCCCAGTAGCAGCAGCGTCCTTCACGAGCCTCTTCCACAGAGGCCGATCTTGACACCGCTGGTACCAGTCATCGGCAAGTCCACTCAGCTCCACGTCCTCCTGTACCGCATCAGCTCCATCTCTTCTCCAGCCCGTGCCGCGCCCGTTTAGACCCCCTCCATGCGGCCAAACAGAAGCTGCTTGGACATGCGGTGGCTGGGCATGCGGGCTACATGACCCAGCCAACGCAGCCTCGCCTGCCGGAGGAGCTCGCTGACGGGAATGGGTCCAGATATTTCACGGATTTGTGAGCTCCTCGCATAATCCAGCCAGGTTGAAACCAGGCTGGATCGTAGGCAGGCCAGCCTGAATGTGTATAACCGGCGCAGATGTTCCATTAGAGGGGGGAGAGAGGGGTCCACGTTTCACAAGCATGGAGAAGGGAGGGCATGACCGTGGCCGAGCAAATTCGTAAAGCTTCGTTTGGAGCGACAGACCAGGTAGCTTCCACAGACCAGCGTTACGCAGCCGATGAAAAGAGAATGCCCCCCGACTGATTCGGAGCGAGACCTCTGCTCACTCATTCATTCACGCCGACTCACTCGCTCACACTCATTCACACTCGCTCGCTCACACTCATTCACACTCGCTCGCTCACACTCTGCAGAGCAGGGGGAGAACACGCAAACTCCCGCTCGCAGTCAACTAACATTGGTGACAAATATCCTGAAGCGGTCGACTGAAAACCTTCAAACACATTCCTGCGGAGGGAGCTGGTAGGAACTTTGGGTTGCTCGGTCAATGGCCAGGGTCAACGGCGGCGTGGTGTATTCCGCAAATATGGCCGACTGCGAGGGCGGGCACAAGCCGGCGTGAGTAGGTTAAACGTTGAGTTTTATAAGGGCACCACGGGGTGACCAGCCCCTCCCCACCCAGCCCCACCCCTCCCACCCCCCACCCAGCCCCACCCCTCCCACCCAGCCCCACCCTCCCCACTCAGCCCCTCCCCACCCTCCCCTCCCCACCCAGCCCCACCCCTCCCACCCAGCTCCATCCTCCCCACCCAGCCCCTCCCCACCCTCCCCACCCAGCCCCTCCCTCCCCACCCAGCCCCTCCCTGCATGACGGACACAATTATCCCCTGTGGGCTGGTGTAACCAGGAGATTCCTACCAGTATGAGTACCTGGGTATAGCGTGTACATATCACCAGCTATGGAGAGAGACAAAGGCGGCCGGGCGAGGTGCCACACTTCCACCGGTCTGTATGTGCCGTGCTGACTTTCATCGGTGACTTCTAACGACCGCACCTGCCCCTAACAGCCTGCTAAAGCTATACGGGGGAGCTTTATCTTTTGTGGATGGTAGACGCAGACACACACGTAGACACACGTGTTGCCGTGTTGCGAATTCCCTGGGATTAGAGAGAGATTAACCTCGCCACGTGACCACAAATCCAGACTCATCCCTCACAGCATCAGCATCATCATCGTCGTCGTCGTCACGGTCGTCATCGTCATCCGCACACAGTCCAACTAGCAGCAGCGACAACAACAACAGCAGCAGTAGAATCAGCAGCAGCGACAACAACAACAACAGCAGCAGCAGAAGCAGCAGCATCAGCAGCAGTAGAATCAGCAGCAGCAGTAGAATCAGCATAAGGGGCAGTAGAATCAGCAGCAGCAGTAGAATCAGCAGCAGCAGTAGAATCAGCAGCAGCAGTAGAATCAGCAGCATCAGGAGCAGTAGAATCAGCAGCAGCAGTAGAATCAGCAGCAGTAGCAGTGTCAGCAGCATCAGCAGCAGTAGAATCAGCAGCAGCAGTAGAATCAGCAGCAGCAGTAGAATCAGCAGCAGCAGTAGAATCAGCAGCAGTAGAATCAGCAGCAGCAGTAGAACCAGCAGTAGAATCAGCAGCAGTATCAGCAGCATCAGCAGCAGTAGAATCAGCAGCAGCAGTATCAGCAGCAGTAGCAGTATCAGCATCAGTAGCAGTAGAATCAGTAGCAGCAGCAGTAGAATCAGTATCAGCAGCATCAGCAGCAGTAAAATCAGCAGCAGTAGCAGTATCAGCAGCATCAGCAGCAGTAGGATCAGCAGTAGAACCAGCAGCAGTATCAGCAGCAGCAGTAGAATCAGCAGTAAAATCAGCAGCAGTAGCAATATCAGCAGCATCAGCAGCGGTAGAATCAGCAGCAGCAGTATCAACAGCAGTAGCAGTATCAGCAGCAGTAGCAGTATCAGCAGCAGCAGCAGTATCAACAGCAGTAGCAGTATCAGCAGCAGTAGCAGTATCAGCAGCGGTAGAATCAGCAGCAGTAGCAGTATCAGCAATTGTAACAACATCAACACCTTCAGGAGTAGCAACATCATCAGCAGCATCACCAGCAGCATCATCATCAGCATCATCAGCAGCATCTTCAGAAGCATCATCAGCAGCATCTTCAGCATCATCAGCATCATCATCAGCAGCATCAGCAGCATCATCTTCAGCATTATCAGCATAATCATCAACATCATCATCAGCATCATCATCAGCAGCATCTTGAGCATCATCATCAGCATCATCAGCAGCATCTTGAGCATCATCAGCATCATCAGAAGGCGCAGCGCAAAATTGCAATCAAACCCATCAGCCATTGCTTTAGCAATAGCCTTATCAAAACACTCTTCACTGCTGGTCAAAACACTCTTCACTGCCGATCAAAACACTCTTCACTGCTGATGGTGCCACGTGGCTGCCTTGAGACGGAGCTCCCAAGGATTGTCGCCGGACGACAGAAAAACCACCGTCTTGAAGGAGCATCTTGAAGGAGCCAGCGTCTTGGAGGAGCGTCTTGAAGAAGCGTCTTGAAGGAACGCTCCTTTCGACCTCCATGGCCTCCTTCGTGGTGAAGTCGATGGTGGGGGGCCCGCTGAAGAGCCTCGCTGGGGGGCTCACGGGCGGGGGGGAGGGGGGCGGGGACAAGGGGGGGGGCGACGCGGGTGGGGGGGGCGGGGGGATGACGCGGGATGAGTACGAGGAGTACCGGAAGCAGCTGCTGGAGGAGAAGTGAGTGACGTGTGAGGAGGTGTGGGGAGGTGTGAGGATGGTGGTGGTGATGGTGGTGATGGTGATGGTGGTGATGGTGATGGTGGTGATGGTGGTGGTGGTGATGGTGGTGGTGGTGATGGTGGTGGTGGTGGTGATGGTGGTGATGGTGGTGGTGGTGATGGTGGTGGTGATGGTGATGGTAGTGGTGATGGTGGTGGTGATGGTGGTGGTGGTGATGGTGGTGGTGATGGTGGTGATGGTGGTGGTGATGGTGATGGTGGTGGTGATGGTGATGGTGATGATGGTGGTGGTGATGGTGGTGGTGGTGATGGTGGTGGTGATGGTGGTGGTGATGGTGGTGGTGGTGGTGGTGATGGTGGTGATGGTGGTGGTGATGGTGGTGGTGATGGTGGTGGTGGTGATGGTGTGATGGTGGTGATGGTGGTGGTGGTGGTGATGGTGGTGGTGGTGGTGGTGATGGTGGTGGTGATGGTGGTGTGGTGGTGGTGATGGTGGTGGTGATGGTGGTGGTGGTGATGGTGGTGGTGGTGATGGGGTGATGGTGGTGGTGATGGTGGTGGTGGTGGTGATGGTGGTGGTGATGGTGATGGTGGTGATGATGGTGGTGGTGATGGTGGTGGTGGTGATGGTGGTGGTGATGGTGGTGGTGGTGATGGTGGTGGTGATGGTGGTGGTGATGGTGGTGATGGTGGTGGTGATGGTGGTGATGGTGGTGGTGGTGGTGGTGATGGTGGTGGTGGTGGTGGTGATGGTGGTGGTGATGGTGGTGGTGATGGTGGTGGTGATGGTGGTGGTGGTGATGGTGGTGGTGATGGTGGTGGTGATGGTGGTGGTGATGGTGATGGTGGTGGTGATGGTGGTGGTGATGGTGGTGGTGATGGTGGTGGTGGTGGTGGTGATGGTGATGATGGTGGTGGTGATGGTGATGGTGGTGGTGATGGTGGTGGTGGTGATGGTGGTGGTGGTGATGGTGGTGATGGTGGTGGTGATGGTGGTGGTGGAGTCGTGATCGCACGTGGTACGAACAAGGCGATCCGAGTTCCATTCACGCTCTCGGCCACCAACACCCATTGACGGATAAGGGGCCGTCCATAAATGACGTCACGCACCTAGGGGGGGAGGGGGGTCAGACATTTGTGACGATGTGTGACGAGGGGGGGAGTGGGGGGTTTGAGAAATGTGACGTCACATCAAAATGCGTAACTTTAAATATAAACAACACGTTCTACTTAATTAAGTAGAATTGTTATAACAACACTCATTTTTCGATTTAAAGCTTTCGTGACTACAGGGATTCATCTTCTTGGTTCTTTCGGTAAAGTCACGTAGAAGGGAAAAAAACATAATAAAATATTTTATTATGTTTTATTTTTGGTATTTTATTATTTCCCTTCTACGTGACTTTACCGAAAGAACCAAGAAGAACACTCATTTTGATAAATTTTCATTATTAACTATTTGATTATTTACATTTGAAGGAGCATTTTGCTTTTCCATGTGAGAATGGAGAAGCATACATTTTGTAAAATTTTGAATGATTGTAATTAAACATTTTTATTTTAATAATTCTGCTAGGGCTTTTCATTCTGTGGAATGAATATGCGACTGTTATAATTGTACTCTCCGTTTTGATTCGTTCTACTACAAAGTTTCAAGTATTTTTCATATAGTTAGAATTACTTTAAATATTTAATAATTATAAGATAATTTCAATATAATATTCTGAACATCTGCAATTTTTGAACATTTTCAAGTGAATATTATGCTAAATTTCAGCTTTCCAACGCCACCTTTTTAATAAATGTTGTCTCCTACAACATCAGAGTGCAGCGCCACATTAAATACGCACTACAATAAGAATAGTTTACAGCGATTTGAAGCATGTTTTATTTTCAAAATGTAAATATGGTTTTGGGGGGGTGGGGGCAAAGCTTTGTGACGTCATACTTGAGGGGGGGTCTGACTTTTTGTGACGCCGTGTGACGAGGGGGGGGGGGGGGGGGGAAATTGCGTGACGTCATTTATGGATGTCCTGGGCCTCCCCTAGGTCGACTCGGCCTCAAATGAGTAGCTGGTGCGGTGTGTAAAGGTGCCATTAGCTAACAGCACAGTCTGTGGAAGGCTACATGGGGGGGGAGGGGGGGGTTATCAGTCTTTGACCCCGCCCGCGTGACCTATGAACTATCACATATTTGTATTTGATCAGGGGGGGCCCGACTGAGCTGACAACATCACGTGGACATTGGTAGCAGCAGCAGCAGCCAATTGCTCTGCACGCATCTTTCTCATCGTCGCCATCGACGTGACCCCTACCCCCTCGCGTGACCCCCCCCCTGCGTGACCCCTCCCCCCCGCGTGACCCTCCCCCCCACGTGCCCCCCCCCCCCCGTGTGACCCCTGTGTAACTCCCACCCCCTTCTGGTGTTACCCGCCCCCCGCATGACCCCCCCCACCCGCGTGCCCAAACCCCCACATGACCCCTCTCGTATGACCCTCCCCCCCGCGTGACCCCCCCCTCGGTGATCCCCCCCCCCCCCACCCTCCGCGTGACCCCTCCCACGTGACCCACTCCCGAGTAACCCCCCCCCCCCCGCGTGACCCCCCCTGTGTGACCCCCCCCCCCCCCTCTCTGGCGTGTCTGCACCCATCTGACCCCCCCTCCCCACGTGACCCCCCCCCCCCCCCCACCGTGTGAGCGTGGCCAGGATGGAACGTGACGCGCACTTCACGCAGAAGAAGGCCGAGCGAGCCACGGTGCGGACCCACTTCAGGGAGAAGTACCACCTGCCCAAGGTGCACCACGATGAGACATATCCTGTACCAGTGGCAACACATAGTAGTAGGTTTTTAAATCCATTATATTAAGTTCACTTGCTTGCGTGCTTGCTTGCGCGCTTACGACCGTGCAAATATTTCGGTCGTTTTTTAACCCACTTCCCGTGATCCAATCGAGCTGACATTTTGCAACACAGACTCGTTGTGCGTGACAATTTATTTTCGTGATTTTTTTTTCAAAAATTTTCCACTTTTTAGGGAAATTTTTTTTTCATATTTAATTTAAAATACCAATGTGATAAAAATGAAACTCTTACTCAAGAAAAACAGAAATGAATAATAAAATAAAACCGATGCCACGCATATAAAGGATTTATAGTGAAAAACTTTGTTTTTACGGGTTAATTTTTTACCCTTTAAACTGGTACAAAACTGACACCTTTATACAAGGCATCATGTTTGCAATAACCGCAACACAAGTAGTCAAAATGCCAACAAAAAGAAACAACTTTGATGATGATAATGATATGCACTGTCCTTGAAGTTGATTGGTCCACACCCGAGACAGCTTTTCTTAGAGCCTAGTCTCACATGGTGTTGGACCAGATGACGCCAAAAGGCGTACAACTCAAAGACAGCGCACTATCAGAGTATTGAGAGCTCGGGGTGAAGCATTTACACTATGAGACCTCCTTTACCAGTGGCAAAATATAGTAGTAGGTTTTTACCCTTTCAACTGGTACAAAACTGACACCTTTGTACGTAGCAAACCGTGCTAATAGGAGGTGCGGGGGTGGGTGGGTGGGGGTAGGACAACAAACTAAACACGAATAGCAGTTACATTTTGATTTAAAACAATAACGTTTGAAAACAAAAATTATTGCTGTGGATTTCACACCTGATGATGCTTGCTTGTGTTGCGGTCGAAACGTCGTGCGAATTTTATTTTTTATATTTGTATTATTTTATTATTTCCCTTCTACGCGACTTTACCGAAATAACCAAGAATACGAATAGCAGTTCTAAAGAAATGAGTTTTTGCCGGATTCTCCAAGCAGCAAAAGAATCAAATGCTACAGGCTCCGCACTTTCAAGGGCCCCGCGCTAAATGCTTTCAAGCTATCAATTCCGGTTCAGTGATTCCGCACTTGCTCTATTACTATAACTATACCGCCTTCAACTTTTACGAACGACTGGGTGTTTAAGGTTAGTGCTTTTTCTATTATCTGGCTGTGTAGCAAATGAAAAAATACAATGACTTTACTATGCAAGTAAAGAATTTGTGTTTGAATATTTATTTTAAAAAAAAAACATTTTTTAGGGCCCCTTCATAAGGTACGCAGCAGACCCCTCACTAGCTTAATCCGGCACTGGGGGGGGGGGGGGCTCCGTCTCCCCTCTCCCCCAGCACCCACTCGGACCCCCTGCCCCGAGCGACACTCATATCTACGTTGTGTCGTACACCCCTCCGCCACCCGGCACAACCCAATTAATGATGATGGTGGTGGTTGGAGGATTTGGCTGCTGTAAATTTCCACATGGAGCTACGTGCACTTTTAAATGCAGATTTGAAAAAGGAATTTCTCTAGAACTGCTTTGTGTGCCTGGCTCGCTGTGGTCCACACGCACAGAAGATGCAGCGACACTCCCTTCCTACCGTGGCCCTGCCAGGGGGCAGTAACACCACCTGTACGTGTTGCTCCTCCCGCGTGTGTAAACGCTCGTCACTGATTGGCCCGATAACACCTTGAGATATATAGAGGACCGCAGAGCTTGGAGGGCGATCGTTGTTAGTGCCGGCTCCTCATCAGCGCCACGTGGCTGCTGCTGCTGCTGCTACTGCTGCTGCTGCTACTGCTGCTGCTACTGCTGCTGCTGCTACTGCTGCTGCTGCTACTGCTGCTGCTGCTACTGCTGCTGTTGCTACTGCTGCTGCTGCTACTGCTGCTGCTGCTACTGCTGCTGCTGCTCCTGCTGCTGCTACTGCTGCTGCTGCTACTGCTGCTGCTGCCCCTGCTGCTGCTGCTGCTGCTACTGCTGCTGCTACTGCTGCTGCTGCTCCTGCTGCTGCTGCTACTGCTGCTGCTACTGCTGCTGCCGCTACTGCTGCTGCTACTGCTGCTGCTGCTACTGCTGCTGCTGCTACTGCTGCTGTTGCTGCTGCTGCTACTGCTGCTGCTGCAGCTGCTGCTGCTACTGCTGCTACTGCTGCTGCTACTGCTGCTGCTGCTACTGCTGCTACTGCTGCTGCTGCTACTGCTGCTGCTGCTACTGCTGCTGCTGCCTTCTCACTCCTCGTGTGTGATTCTATCAGCTGCTGGTGCCTCTGAGTCGTCCTCTCTCGCTCTCTTTCTCTAGGAGCTTTCCCGACACATTTCGAAGCATGCCTTTAGATTATACTGGTAGGAACCTCCTGGTTACACCGGCCCACAGGGGATTATTGTGTCCGTCCGTCCGGCGTGGAGGGAGGGGCTGGGTGGGGAGGGAGGGGAGGGGCTGGGTGGGGAGGGTGAGTGGGGAGGGGCTGGGTGTGGAGGGTGGGGAGGGGCTGGGTGGGGAGGGGCTGGGTGTGGAGGGTGGGGCTGGGTGGGGAGGGGCTGGGTGGGGAGGGTGGGGAGGGGCTTGGTGGGGGAGGGTGGGGAGGGGCTGTGTGGGGAGGGTGGGGCTGGGTGGGAGGGTGGGGAGGGGCTGGGTGGGAGGGATGGGGCTGGGTGGGGAGGGGCTGGTCACCCCGTGGTGCCCTTAAAAAACTCAACGTTTAACCTACTCACGCCGGCTTGTGCCCGCCCTCACAGTCGGGCATATTTGCGGAATACACCACGCCGCCGTTGACCCTGGCCATTGACCGAGCAACCCAACGTTCCTACCAGCTCCCTCCGCAGCAGGAATGTGTTTTGGCTGTTATAAACGTCCACGTGATTATAGGCCTACTTCGCAACATATCTCAGTGGGGCGTTACCTGGTAAAAATGTAATTAGTTCATAGTTAGTAGTTTAGATTGTGAAAGCCAGGTCGCTTCTAAAAAAGAGCAACTTCGCAGCTTAGTGGGGCCTGACCTGGTAAGATAAAATAAAATGTATCGCTTAGTAGTTTAGTTTGTGATTTGCCAGCTCGCTTCTAAAGAATGAGCTAATAACTCAGTGGCATTTAGAACATTTTCTTGGATCTTTCGGTAAAGTCACGTAGAAGGGAAATAATAAAATAATAATAAAACATAATAAAATAATATTATAATAATATAATATTATTTTGTTATGTTATTATTCTTTCATTATTTCCCTTCTACGTGATAAAATAATATAAAATAATATTAAATAATATAATAATAATATATTATATTACTTTATGATGTTAGTTTTTATTATGTTATTATTTCCCTTCTACGTGACTTTACCGAAAGAACCAAGAAGATGAATCCCTGCAGTCACAAAAGCTTCAAATCGAAATTTAGAACATTGTTTAAATTTAATTTGCATCTTTTTTTTTGTTTAAGTGATTTGTTCACCTCCCCGATCCCGTATCTCAGCGCGGCGCTAACCGCTGCGCCACCGCTCCCTCTCCTCTCTCTCCCTCGCCCATCGCCCATTCCGCGCGGGGAGCCTCCACAGAGCGAACAGGACGCTGCCAAAGTGCAGCTCGCGGGGGGGGCAGTGGAACTCCCCCCGGATCTCGCCAAGATGGTTCGGTCCGAGCAGCAGCAGCAGCAGGAGCAGCAGCAGCTGCAGGTAGAGGAGGCGTCGCTGCTAAACTCGCTGCCTATCCTGGTCCTCTCCGGCAACCAGGCAGCACACCAAAGACTAACATACCCCCCCCCCCCCCCCCCCCCCGGAGTGTAGCCTTTAACAGACTATTGACTTAACACTTTCGTGACTGCAGGGATTCATCTTCGTGGTTCTTTCGGTAAAGTCGCGTAGATAGAAAAGTAAATAATAAATAAAATATCTTTCGATTTCAAGCTTTCGTGACTGCAGGGATTCATCTTCTTGGTTCTTTCGGTAAAGTCTTCACGTAGAAGGGAAATAATAAAATAATAAAAATAAAACATCATAAAATAATTCTCACGACGTTTCGGCAACAACGCAAGAAACCGTCCTCAGGTGGAGAGCAGGTCTGTCGAGTAGACAGTCTGAATGACACACTCCAGGCTTGGAGCGACTATTTAAGCTGGAATTGAGGGGGGAAGGGTGCCTTGACAAAATAATGTGCAAGAGGAAGAGGAATTTAGCATATTTATGGGAAATGCAGATATGCGATTAGTACTACTTGTGAAATGCGTAGGAGGTTTGGCGGAGGGTTTAAAGTCATTATGCCCGTGCATTATGCAGGATTAGCAGCAACAAAGGAAGGGGATAGGGGTGACATTAATAAAGGGAAGGAATGTTAATAGTATGTAGCTGCAGTAACTAAACCACCACGTAAACAACTAAAGTATAAACTACATATTTTTCGATTTAAAGCTTTCTACTTACATTACTTTGTATTACTTACTGTTAGTAGTTGAGCTTATTGGAGAGTATATTTAGTATACTGATGATACTATTTAGTTTATACTTTATATAAACTACATAGTACAAAGCTTTATTTTTTATTTTCTATCTACGTGACTTTACCGAAAGAACCACGAATATACTTTAACAGACTGTTGGGGCCAAGTGCTGTTTAGCGAGTAGCAGCGCCTATGAAGGTCATCACTGAGTCTATGGGCAGTGGTGGTTGGATGGCCAGTACCACCCCACCCCGCACTCGGCCGTCTTTGTCTCCCCAGTGTCGATGGGCGCCACAGCGGGGAGATGTTGACTACCTCGCCTGGTATACAGGAAGTCGTGGGGTCGATTCAGACCCTGACGCCTGCTGCTGTATATTTGGAGTTTGCGTGTCTCTCTCTCATCATCATCATCACGGTGGCTAGGAGATGTTAACTACCTCGCCTGGTATACAGGAAGTCGTGGGGTCGATTCAGACCCTGACACCTGCTGCTGTATATTGGGAGTTTGCGTGTCTCTCTTTCTCATCATCATCACGGTGGCTAGGAGATGTTAACTACCTCGCCTGGTATACAGGAAGTCGTGGGGTCGATTCAGACCCTGACGCCTGCTGCTGTATATTTGGAGTTTGCGTGTCTCTCTCTCATCATCATCATCACAGTGGCTAGGAGATGTTAACTACCTCGCCTGGTATACAGGAAGTCGTGGGGTCGATTCAGACCCTGACGCTTGCTGCTGTATATTTGGAGTTTGCGTGTCTCTCTCTCATCATCATCATCACGGTGGCTAGGAGATGTTGACTACCTCGCCTGGTATACAGGAAGTCGTGGGGTCGATTCAGACCCTGACGCCTGATGCTGTATATTGGGAGTTTGCGTGTCTCTCATCATCATCACGGTGGCTAGGAGATGTTAACTACCTCGCCTGGTATACAGGAAGTCGTGGGGTCGATTCAGACCCGGACGCCTGCTGCTGTATATTGGGAGTTTGCGTGTCTCTCTCTCATCATCATCACGGTGGCTAGGAGATGTTAACTAACTCGCCTGGTATACAGGAAGTCGTGGGGTCGATTCAGACCCTGACGCCTGCTGCTGTATATTGGGAGTTTGCGTGTCTCTCTTTCTCATCATCATCACGGTGGCTAGGAGATGTTAACTACCTCGCCTGGTATACAGGAAGTCGTGGGGTCGATTCAGACCCTGACGCCTGCTGCTGTATATTGGGAGTTTGCGTGTCTCTCTCTCATCATCATCACGGTGGCTAGGAGATGTTAACTAACTCGCCTGGTATACAGGAAGTCGTGGGGTCGATTCAGACCCTGACGCCTGCTGCTGTATATTGGGAGTTTGCGTGTCTCTCTTTCTCATCATCATCACGGTGGCTAGGAGATGTTAACTACCTCGCCTGGTATACAGGAAGTCGTGGGGTCGATTCAGACCCTGACGCCTGCTGCTGTATATTGGGAGTTTGCGTGTCTCTCTCTCTCATCATCATCACGGTGGCTAGGAGATGTTAACTACCTCGCCTGGTATACAGGAAGTCGTGGGGTCGATTCAGACCCTGACGCCTGCTGCTGTATATTTGGAGTTTGCGTGTCTCTCTCTCATCATCATCATCATGGTGGCTAGGAGATGTTAACTACCTCGCCTGGTATACAGGAAGTCGTGGGGTCGATTCAGACCCTGACGCCTGCTGCTGTATATTTGGAGTTTGCGTGTTTCTCTTCCTGCGGTAGTGTAGATATTTCTCCGGGTTCTCCGGTTTTTCCCCTCCGCATTTCGAATCAACATCACCACGCGTTTAGATATTTGGCCGCTAAATATATTTCCATGTGATAAGCCACTTTATTAAGTCACAACTGGCTGTGATGTTCCCATCCTACCACCTTCCGATGTTAGTTGGTATTTTCGGCTCGCCGATCTCACATTAACATGCTAATCTCTCACATTAACATGCTAATCTCTCACCTTAACATGCTAATCTCTCACATTAACATGCTAATTTTTACCTGGCAGCCATTTGATTGGTGGAAACCCACCACCGCCACGGTCAACGCCCACCACATTAACATCAGCTGCCCCGCCCACCACATTAACATTAGCTGCCCCACCCACCATAATAACATCAGCTGCCCCACCCACCACATTAACATCAGCTGCCCCACCCACCACATTAGCATCAGCTGCCCCACCCACCACATTAACATCAGCTGCCCCACCCACCACATTAACATCAGCTGCCCCACCCACCACATTAACATCAGCTGCCCTGCCCACCACATTAACATCAGCTGCCCCACCCACCACATTAACATCAGCTGCCCCACCCACCACATTAACATCAGCTGCCCCGCCCACCACATTAACATCAGCTGCCCTGCCCACCACATTAACATCAGCTGCCCCACCCACCACATTAACATCAGCTGCCCCACCCACCACATTAACATCAGCTGCCCCACCCACCACATTAACAGCAGCTGCCCCGCCCACCACATTAACATCAGCTGCCCCGCCCACCACATTAACATCAGCTGCCCCGCCCACCACATTAACATCAGCTACCCCGCCCACCACATTAACATCAGCTGCCCCGCCCACCACATTAACATCAGCTGCCCCGCCCACCACATTAACATCAGCTGCCCCGCCCACCACATTAACATCAGCTGCCCCGCCCACCACATTAACATCAGCTGCCCCGCCCACCACATTAACATCAGCTGCCCCACCCACCACATTAACATCAGCTGCCCCGCCCACCACATTAACATCAGCTGCCCCGCCCACCACATTAACATCAGCTGCCCCGCCCACCACATTAACATCAGCTGCCCCGCCCACCACATTAACATCAGCTGCCCCACCCACCACATTAACATCAGCTGCCCCACCCACCACATTAACATCAGCTGCCCCGCCCACCACATTAACATCAGCTGCCCCGCCCACCACATTAACATCAGCTGCCCCACCCACCACATTAACATCAGCTGCCCCACCCACCACATTAACATCAGCTGCCCCGCCCACCACATTAACATCAGCTGCCCCACCCACCACATTAACATCAGCTGCCCCACCCACCACATTAACATCAGCTGCCCCGCCCACCACATTAACATCAGCTGCCCCACCCACCACATTAACATCAGCTGCCCCACCCACCACATTAACATCAGCTGCCCCGCCCACCACATTAACAGCAGCTGCCCCACCCACCACATTAACATCAGCTGCCCCGCCCACCACATTAACATCAGCTGCCCCGCCCACCACATTAACATCAGCTGCCCCGCCCACCACATTAACATCAGCTGCCCCACCCACCACATTAACATCAGCTGCCCCACCCACCACATTAACAGCAGCTGCCCATTGGAAACCTTTGTGAACAGTTTGACTTTAGAGGCTAAACCCCCTACTCCTGATGGCGGCCGCTTGCGTTGCGGTCGAAACGTCGGGGCGTTTTGTTATTTTCTACGAACCTCTCGACGTGACTTCACCGAAAGACCCAAAGAATAAGAGGAGCATGGTTAGTGTGACGAGGGGCCTGATTATGCTAATGAGGGGGCGTGATTATGCTAATGATGGGGCGTGATTATGCTAATGAGGGGTGTGGTTATAGAAGCGAGGGGGCGTGCTTATGCTAATGAGGGGGCGTGGTTAGTGTAACGAGGGGCGTGGCTATAGCAGCGAGGGGCGTGGTTATGCTAATGAGGGGCGTGATTATGCTAATGAGGGGGCATGCGTATGCTAATGGGGGGCGTGGTCATGCTAATGAGGGGCGTGTTTATGCTAATGAGGGGCGTGATTATGCTAATGAGGGGGGCGTGTTTATGCTGTCTCTCGGTGTCTCCGCAGGGCGTGGAGTCTCTCCGAGAGAAGGCCCAGGAAACCCTCCACGGGGTGCGACAGGCGGCCGAGCAAAAGTGCAGCGTCATGTGAGCGCCGTGGGTCTCACCCGGGGGGGGCCATCGACCCCCCGGGTCCCGCACCTGGGGCTCACCCTAGGGGGTAGGAGAGGGGGGGGGGTATCACCCCTCTTTGTCGCCCCTGGATGACCCCGCTGGTCACTCCTTGTTATGTTTTAGTTTGTCGCGGTTGCACCCGAGTCAATAGCCGCATGGCTCACAGGGCTATACCAAATACATGGAACTGAAAAACTGAAAACCTCTTGGTCACACCTGTGTCATGTCCTGGGTGACCCCTGGGTGACCTCCTGCGTGACCCCTGAGTGACCCCTTAGTCAACCCTTGGTCACACCTGTGTAATGTCCTGGGTGACCCCTGGGTGACCCCTTAGTCAACCCTTGGTCACACCTGTGTCATGTCCTGGGTCATCTCCTGGGTGACCCCTGGGTGACCCCTGGGTGACCCCTTAGTCAACCCTTGGTCACACCTGGGTGACCCCTGGGTGACCCCTGCGTGACCCCTTAGTCAACCCTTGGTCACACCTGGGTCATGTCCTGGGTCACGTCCTGGGTGACCCCTGGATGACCCCTGCGTGACCCCTTAGTCAACCCTTGGTCACACCTGTGTCATGTCCTGGGTCACGTCCTGGGTGACCCCAGAGTGACCCCTGCTTCATTCTGGATCAGCTTGCAACGCGACCTTCAACTCCGAAGCATCCTGGGCTGAACCTCCGTTCCTCCTCCACCACCGTCTCCACCACCGTCTCCACCACCGTCTCCACCACCACCACCTCCACCACCGTCTCCACGACCGCGGCTCGACTCGAGGATGGATCGAGAGCCGATCCGTGATCCCCCCCCCCCGTGGTTCTCTCTGGGACGGCTCCTAACAGATGCCGCCATGTTAGGAAGCCCACTGGGCAGCTATGATGCACTTGTAAATAATCGAGGAGATTGAAAACGAATTTCTTTAGAACTGCTTTTTGTCTTCAGTTTGTTGTCCGATTAGCGCGGCTGGCTACGTACGGTGCGAAAAAATGTCAACATACCCTTAGACCCAACACTGCCCATAGATTAACACTACCCATAGACTCAACACTACCCATAGACTCAACACTACCCATAGACTCAACACTACCCATAGACTCAACACTGCCCATAGACTCAACACTGCCCATAGACTCAACACTGCCCATAGACTCAACACTGCCCATAGACTCAACACTACCCATAGACTCAACACTACCCATAGACTCAACACTACCCATAGACTCAACACTGCCCATAGACTCAACACTGCCCATAGACTCAACACTGCCCATAGACTCAACACTGCCCATAGACTCAACACTACCCATAGACTAACACTGCCCATAGACTCAATACTGCCCATAGACTCAACACTACCCATAGACTCAACACTGTCCATAGACTAACACTACCCATAGACTCACCACTACCCATAGACTCAACACTGCCCATAGACTCAACACTGCCTACCGGGCGAGGTAGTTAACATCTCGCGCATGACCCCCGGAGTCTCAGGAACTTGAGACACCTACACACCAAGACAAAGATCCCCCGTGTAGTCTTAACAGACTGTCGGGGCAAGTGCTGTCAGCGAACACCAATGAAGGCCGGCACGGCACACGAGGGGGTGGGTGGCCAACACCACGCCCGGCCGCCTTTGTCTCCCGATGGTGATGTTTACTACACACCGCACCAGGTACTCATTTGAGGCTGAGTCGACCTAGGGGAGGTCCAGGACCGGTTCAGATAATCGTCACTGATGTTGGCCGTGAGTAGCAATCGAACCCGGGTCGCCAGGTTTGTAGCGCAGCGCGTTAACCACTACACTAGCGCATTGGCACACACACACTGACACACACAGAGTGACACACACACACTGACACAGAGTGACACACACACAGTGACACACACAGTGACACACACACACGCTGACACAGAGTGACACAGAGTGACACACACACTGACACACACACGCAGTGACACACAACAACAACCGCCATTCGCCACTAAGTGGTGGTGACGTCACCACGACGCTTGTGCCAGGCCAGGTGCACCTTGAGGCCACGTGAAGTGTCGAACGCCCGCTGGTGACACACACACAGAGTGACACACACACACAGTGAAACACACACACTGACACACATACACGCAGTGACACACACACGCTGACACACAGAGTGACACACACAGTGATACACAATGAAACACACACGCAGTGAAACACACGCAGTGACACACACACACAATGACACACATACACTGACACACATACACGCAGTGACACACACACAGTGACACACACTGACACCCACACACGCAGCGACACACACAGAGTGACACACACAGTGAAACACACACACTGACACACACACTGACACACATACACGCAGTGACACACACACACGCTGACACACAGAGTGACACACACAGTGATACACAGTGACACACACACACACAATGACACACACACACTTAACGCACGCACGTACGGAAACAGGACATCCGCCGCGGTATTAACCGGGGTCGTCCTTCCAGATTCGAACCGCGAAAACCCTCTCTCGTCTGTGTCACAGCCTGTGCCACTCACCCCTTCTCACCCCCACCCCACCACCCCCATCTTCGCGTGTCGCTGTTGTTCCCCCCGTGTGGATGCCCCACCAATGGGCATTGTTGGCATCACGGCTGCAGCAGAGATCGCAACCGGGTACCCGATACCCGTACCCTACCCGATACCCAGCTACCCGTACCCGGCCGGGTACGGGTACCCGTTTGCGACCCTGGTGCGGCCGGGTACGGGTAGGCCGTGAGTCACTGGTGAGTCACCGTTTGTCACTCATTTCCCAACGTCTTGTCTCTTCTCACAATTCAAGTTCCTAGAATCAACCCACCCGCGCCTGCAACATGGCTTCATCCCAGAGGTCGCAATCGGGTATCCGATACCCGTATCCTACCCGTACCCAGCCGGGTACGGGTAGGGTACGGGTACGGCCGGGTACGGGTACCCGTTTGCGACCCTGGTACGGCCGGGTACGGGGTACGGGTAAGGAATCAAAACCCGTTTGCGACCTCTGGTTGGTGGGTGAGTAAGTGGGTGCGTGGGTGAGTGGGTGGGTGAGTGCGTGGGTGGGTGAGTGGGTGAGTGAGTGAGTTCGTGAGTGGGTGAGTGAGTGAGTGGGTGAGTGAGTGGGTGAGTGGGTGGGTGAGTGAGTGGGTGAGTGGGTGAGTGAGTGGGTGGGTGAGTGAGTAGCTGAATTGGTGGGTGGGTGGGTGAGTGAGTGAGTGGGAGAGTTTGCGACCCTGGTGCGGCCGGGTACGGGTACGGGTAAGGAATCAAAACCCGTTTGCGACCTCTGGTTGGTGGGTGAGTAAGTGGGTGCGTGGGTGAGTGGGTGAGTGAGTGAGCTCGTGAGTGGGTGACTGAGTGAGTGGGTGAGTGAGTGGGTGAGTGGGTGGGTGAGTGAGTAGCTGAATTGGTGGGTGGGTGAGTGAGTGAGTGGGAGAGTTTGCGACCCTGGTGCGGCCGGGTACGGGTACGGGTAAGGAATCAAAACCCGTTTGCAACCTCTGGTTGGTGGGTGAGTAAGTGGGTGAGTGGGTGAGTGGGTGAGTGAGTGAGCTCGTGAGTGGGTGACTGAGTGAGTGGGTGAGTGAGTGGGTGAGTGGGTGGGTAAGTGAGTAGCTGAATTGGTGGGTGGGTGAGTGAGTGAGTGGGAGAGTTTGCGACCCTGGTGCGGCCGGGTACGGGTACGGGTAAGGAATCAAAACCCGTTTGTGACCTCTGGTTGGTGGGTGAGTAAGTGGGTGCGTGGGTGAGTGGGTGAGTGAGTGAGCTCGTGAGTGGGTGACTGAGTGAGTGGGTGAGTGAGTGGGTGAGTGGGTGGGTAAGTGAGTAGCTGAATTGGTGGGTGGGTGAGTGAGTGAGTGGGAGAGTTTGCGACCCTGGTGCGGCCGGGTACGGGTACGGGTAAGGAATCAAAACCCGTTTGTGACCTCTGGTTGGTGGGTGAGTAAGTGGGTGCGTGGGTGAGTGGGTGAGTGAGTGAGCTCGTGAGTGGGTGACTGAGTGAGTGGGTGAGTGAGTGGGTGAGTGGGTGGGTAAGTGAGTAGCTGAATTGGTGGGTGGGTGAGTGAGTGAGTGGGAGAGTTTGCGACCCTGGTGCGGCCGGGTACGGGTACGGGTAAGGAATCAAAACCCGTTTGTGACCTCTGGTTGGTGGGTGAGTAAGTGGGTGCGTGGGTGAGTGGGTGAGTGAGTGAGCTCGTGAGTGGGTGACTGAGTGAGTGGGTGAGTGAGTGGGTGAGTGGGTGGGTAAGTGAGTAGCTGAATTGGTGGGTGGGTGAGTGAGTGAGTGGGAGAGTTTGCGACCCTGGTGCGGCCGGGTACGGGTACGGGTAAGGAATCAAAACCCGTTTGTGACCTCTGGTTGGTGGGTGAGTAAGTGGGTGCGTGGGTGAGTGGGTGAGTGAGTGAGCTCGTGAGTGGGTGACTGAGTGAGTGGGTGAGTGAGTGGGTGAGTGGGTGGGTAAGTGAGTAGCTGAATTGGTGGGTGGGTGAGTGAGTGAGTGGGAGAGTTTGCGACCCTGGTGCGGCCGGGTACGGGTACGGGTAAGGAATCAAAACCCGTTTGTGACCTCTGGTTGGTGGGTGAGTAAGTGGGTGCGTGGGTGAGTGGGTGAGTGAGTGAGCTCGTGAGTGGGTGACTGAGTGAGTGGGTGAGTGAGTGGGTGAGTGGGTGGGTAAGTGAGTAGCTGAATTGGTGGGTGGGTGAGTGAGTGAGTGGGAGAGTTTGCGACCCTGGTGCGGCCGGGTACGGGTACGGGTAAGGAATCAAAACCCGTTTGCGACCTCTGGGCTGCAGATAATCACCCGGTGGCCCCACGGTGTCGGATCGGTGTTTTTTGTTTCACGCTTTTATTTCACTCACTCTGTCTGGTGTTGTCGATGTTGTTGTTGTTGTCGTAGCCTCAAAGCTTGTAACTCGATTTTAACCCACTTCGACTGCAA